ATGTCAGGACTGTGCCCTGCAACTGTCAGCCTCTTTTGACCACTGAAGGGCACTGGGGTTGCAGCGGAGGAATATCAGCTATGGAGATAATGGGCGGAGAAAAAAAACGGATGTGTGTTGAATGGCATTCCTTCCTCTTCCTCTCTATCGGCTCACTAAGAAAGCAAAAGGATAATCTACCTGTACAGAACTCTGGCAGAGAACCTATCACAATGCATGGTTTTGCTTATAAGTCGTCTCCCCTGTCAGGCTGAGAGTTGACTTCTTATAATAATCTGTGTCATATCTTTATATTTCCTGCACCTACCATAGTTTTTGGAGCCCATTTATGGAAAGAGTGAAGAACGAATTTGCTTTATGTAGAATTGGGTTATGGGTCTTTCCCCCCCAGAAATCTTATGAAAGTTAAAGACTTTCGTTCTAAGGTGCATGTAGGTGGGAAGCTTGCAAAAATTGGTATACACATTTATGGATATCACAGATGCCTTGAAACAAACCCATGGAACTCAGGTTAAAATTTCCTCAATTAAGAGAGAGGGTAATAAGAAATTGTAAAATAATTTCTCATTCATATTCTTTTTGTTGTTGTTGTTAATCCTCACCTGAGGGTATTTTTTTTCCATGGATTTTTAGAGAGAGTAGAAGGGAGGGAGGGAGAGAGAAACCATTGATATAAGAGAGAGACATCGATTGGTTGCCTCCTGCATGCACCCAGACTGGGCTGGAGATTGAACCTGCAACCCAGGCACATGTCCTTGACCAGAAATCAAACCCTCAACCCTTCAATCCTTTGGTTCGAGGGCCGATGCTCTAAACATTGAGCAACAATGGCCAAGGCCCTCATTCATATTCTTGGTCAAACTAATATCACAGCTGAGGTGGGGCTACCAGACTCAATAAATATTATGATTAGATGTGGAAAGAGCACCTTACAAACCTGAGGCGGCGGAATCAAGGCCAATGTGGAGAAGGACTTGTGTGCGGTTTACGCAAGTATAAACTGCCTATTGTTGGGATGACCTAGAGACACCTTCCTTCCTTTCTCGGTTCAATGGGTCCAGGGCTTCCTATTTTCCCCTTAAAATATCTCCTCCCTAATCCATCCTTTGAGTGTCTCTGGCATTTACCTCCTTTCTTACTGCAAAGTCCTCCAGATTCAAGCTGATTAGTATCTTATCTCAGGACTTGCAATTATTCTAGATCTTGAGAGACAGAACTGGTCTCTAAAAGACATCAGATGAGAACTCTGATTCAGACCAAGTTATAAAGTACAGGAGTGCTTCATCAAAGTCATCAATGAGATGACTGATGATCAGATACAGGCACTTTGTTGTTGTTGTTGTTGTTTTTCTACTTAATTGTATCTGATCTTTATTGAGTAAGGTATCATATGTTTGTCCTCATCAGATACAGGTACTTGGAAAGACAGAAGGAATGAGAATGTTCTAAACCCTATGGCAAAACTTATCAAAACTAGTGTCTCCTTCAGAAATATTTGCTAGAACATGTTCTGAGGATAAAAGTCGACACATAATCAAATAAGACTTTGGCTGTAATTTCAGCACCAATTTAGTCGCTGCTGTTTCCTACCACTATCAATTCTCCATGATTACTGAATGCTCCCAAGGTGAGGCAAAGATCATTTTCAGGCTAAACTTTTTTTTTCTGTCCATGACTTGAATCTTTTGGAAATTTTCCTTTCAGATTTTGTGTTTGCTTAGCAGGTTCTTTACAATATATGTGTGACTAAAATTATTTTAATAGCCTTATCTGTATTGTAATGACAAAGAGTCTGTAGATCTTGTGACAACACATTCCTCTGCTGAGTTTATTTAATTCCTTTCCCTGGTTGATATTTGAACCTTTCATTTGGAGTGGATCCAGCAACACAATTCACTAAGTGCCTGAACAGGTCCAGGAGGGGTTAAAAAACACAACCACCAACATAAAAACTCCCCATCTATTGTGTAATCTACACAACCTTGTAGTTGAATCTGGGTTCTTGTGAAATTTTAATCGTAGCTTCAGGAATGTGATATGATGATGGGGAAATATTATAAAGAAATTCTACAAACTGCTAAATTTGCTTTACGTTTTGTTTCATAATCCTATTGTGATTTCCAGTGAGAGGAAATTTCCAAATTTTATGGCTCAAAGTGTTTGTTTTTATCGTGCACAGAGAAAGTTTTATGAGGGTATAGGTTTGGGTGGTAGGGTGGTTTTTAAAATACAACATGAGACTATTTCAAATATAAAAGGGGAAGTAAGTGAGATATTATTATAATTACTACAGAGGGAAATAATGTTGGAACCAAGAGTAGAATGTAATTTATTGAAGATACAATGATCAGAAGTTATTTAAAAAAAATTTTTTAAATTGATTTCAGAGAGGAAGGGAGAGGGAGAGAGAGATAGTAATATCAATGATGAGAGAGAATCACAGATGGGCTGCCTCCCACACACTCCCCATTGTGGATGGTGCCCACAAACCGGGCGTGTGCCCCTGACCTGGAATCGAACCTCGACCTCCTGATTTATAGGTCTATGATCAACCACCAAGCCACACCGGCTTGGCCAGATAGTTATTTTGGATAACCCTCAACATCATGTAAGTCATATCATATTTTGTAATCAGAGCTGAGCAAACACTGTTTACTGATTAATTCGTGTTTTTAGTCACTGAAATTTTAAGGACAAAATGAAAACCTAGGTCTTTATGCTATCACGAAACATGGCCATGAAATCTATCCATCTAAGCAGTGTTTTTTTGTTTTTGTTTTGTTTGTCTTTTTAAATGTGTCTCTGTAAAAGGACATGGGGAAGGGAGTGGGGAAACCACTGAATTTTCAAATATATACTTAGGTGTAATCACTGCTTATTGCAGGGCCTGATGAGGTGGGGCCTGAGCCCAAAGAACCCCCGTCTAAGAGAATTTGCAGTCCAGGTCAAGTCTGACTTTGGGAGATCCCTCTTTACTTTGCTCTTAGTTAATTAGGGGAAAATCTGATTAACTTATACAATAAAGCATTAGTATTAGGAAACAAAAAGAGGAAGAGGCCTTTCCAAATTCATGACTTCTTAATTAGGGTCAGACAGTATCTGGGGATTTCCTATACCCTAAGTTTGCCGAATGATTACATAGGTCTGGGGACAAGAAATGTGCTCAGGGTGATTCATCCAACTTTTTTTTTAGTATTGGGGTTCTGTCTTGCAATTTCCTCTTCTGGCATCATGTGTTGGCTAATGGAGTGGGTGGGTTTCTGATAGGTTTACTCCTACTCGGATTCAAAAGCCTTGGGTTAGGCCTTGGCCTCTTGGTCAATATGGGGTTTAAACCTTCCTCTCTCCAATGAGTGCGTCTCTGACCAGTTAGGAAGGGACTTTCCTTGAGACTTATTACAACAGCTTACCGGGGGATGGATATTTGAAGGTAGCTTTCTGTGCTGTTTTGCCATCGTGGGGTGACTCTGAAAAGCTTTCTTACCTCTGAAAGGAGAAAAATGTTGATAGGGTTGACTAATGACTACGCAGAGACATAATTGGGCAACCCGAATCAGATGTTCAGATAGAAAGACGGGTAGACTGTGATGACACAAGTCTAAATTCTAGGTCTGCAGGTAAAGCTTTGCAAAGGGCCTCACCCCAGAAACACCTGCATTGGGGTCTTTGCTGAGAGTGTTTCTCCCATCCCCAGCACCCCAAGTCCAGATGAATTGCCTACCTTCCAGGGAAAAGGCGCCCTCTCTTTCTTTCTCTCTCTCTCTCTCTCTCTCTCTCTCTCTCTCTCTCTCTCTCTCTGATATAGATATATATCTTGACCATTTTTTTTTTAATGATTTGTAACTATCAGTAAAGTATTAAAATAAAAAAAACTTTGCCCAGGTGTCTGCTGGCATCAATATTCTACACCAGGTTAAAGTTATTTCCCAACATGCATACCCTGCACTCCAACTGATAGCTTAATAGCTTGATTAAAAATTTCTCAGAAGTCTATTAGACTCAGGAAACGGTCTGCGGTGTAGGTGAGGATTTTCAGTTTTTGCAATGGAAACTTTTGGCCCCATGAACAGAATAGCAAAAACTCAATTAAATGTGCTCTTCCCCTATCCTTGCCTGGTCCTACAGTAAAAAACAAAATGAAAAAACTGCTTGGAAGAGTGGTGTTTAGGTATCCCCACACCCCTCTTCCTCCCCCCTCTAAAACAGCCAGGTGGATTCATATGATCCCATTTTTAAAATTGTCTTCTCTCTCCCGCTCAGAATAAACCAGGTCACCCCAGCACAATCAGAAGTCTCTTTGTTGTTGTTGTTGTTGTTGTTATTGTGTGTGCGTGTGTGTGCGCGTGTGCGTGTGTTTTAATTTTCAGCCTCTAAGGCGGTTGGGCAGGATGGGGTAGGCCGGGAAGGCCAAGGGAAGGTGTCAAGGCACTTTCATTAAAAACAACCAACACCTTGAGGTTTTTAGAATTAGGATCTGCCATTTCCTTAATTAAGAAACGAATGTGACAGTCCTTTGGCCAATTAATTTAGACAATGCTATGAACCCCAGAGGGTCTGGTGACTGTCCAAGCGACGAACACTCCATTCCCTGGCGGGGACCCCAAGCCGCCGCCCCAGCCAACGCCAGCTCTGGAGTCCTTTGGCTCTTTGGCTGCGCAGGCACCTCGGCTCCCTAGGTCTGTCTCTAGCGCTGCTCTGCTTGGTGTTGCACCGGCTGCCTCAGGCTCGCCGCCACCAGGCGCGGACACCTCCCAGCCTCCCTCTCCCTGTCCCTCCCTCCCTCCTTCCCTCCCTCCCAGCCGGCGGGACCTATTCCGGGCCGGGGAACAGCAGCCCGGGCGGCAGCCAGCGGCAGGAAGCGAGGCCCTTGTTGATGCTGTTCCACGGCGCGCCTCCCCACCCTCCGCTGGGCCCGCCCGCCGCGGCTCTTCCCTTCTGTGGCGCTCCCCCCCCCAGACCTCCGCCTCCGCGCCTGCGCAGTGGCCCACGGGGGGCGGAGCTCAGATTCCTGTCAGCGGGCAGCAGCGGCGGCAGCGGCGGCGACGGCGGCGGCGTCCGTCAGTTTTCTCTGAAGAGCCACCGCCACACGGACCCGTTGGCTCTTCCCCCTCCTCCCTCTCCCCGCCCTGACTGAACCCCTTTCCTGGCTCTCCGGCACTGAGTCCCTGTGGAGTGTTTCCCCTCCACACACTGACGCAGTTTCCTCGCTCCTCGGCCCGCTTGGAACTCCCTGTCCTCGAGGAGGCGGCGGCGGCGGCGGCGGCGGCGGCGGCGGCGGCAGCGGCAGCGGCAGCAGCGGCGGCGGCAGCTGCCCTCGCCTCACCGCCCCCGGTTCGGTCCCCGCGGTCCCGGAGAGGAGGTGCCGCCGCCACCCCCGCTCCCCCCGCTCCCCTCCCGCTGCCCTCGGGCCGGGCTGGGTCGAGCTGCGATGCCCTCGGACTTCATCTCATTGCTCAGCGCGGACCTAGACCTGGAGTCGCCCAAGTCCCTGTACTCGCGAGGTGAGCGGGGTGGAGGGGCCGGGGAGGCGGCCCTGAGGGTCCCCAGGGTCCCCCCCGTCCGTCCGAGGGGCCGCCCGCCGAGCCCGGGGCCGGCCGGGGTGGCCTGACCTGGGGAAGGAGGGGGTGGTGGCAGGGAGCGTCCGATGGGGCCGGAGACGTTGGAAGCGGCGGCGGCGGCGGCGGCGGCGGCGGGGAGGAGTGGCGGCCCCTCCCCCGCGGGGCCGCTGGCCGCCGGCCGCTCCGGGCCCCAGAGCCGGCGGCCCCCCAGGTCTCCGCTCCGAGCGTCCGTCCCTCCGCCCGTCCTGCCCGGCGCACTCAGTCCCGGAGCGGGCAGCGCCGGCCTCCTCCCCCCTTTACGCCCCCCTCCGCTCGGGGGTCACCCCGGACCGGGCCCCGTGCCGCTGGGGCCGCCGTGATGCGTGGGGCCCGGCTCCCCTTCCAGGACCATCCATCCCTCCTCCCCGGCCAAGTTGCCCCCACACAGGCGGCGGCGGCGGGGCCTGGAGCCGGTGCTGGGCAGGGTCACCATTTTCTCCCCCCGCCCCTCCAGGTTGTTTGTGCATTGCCGTTTTTTGTTGTTGTTGTTGTTGTTTTACCCCCTTCTCTCGCCCCGGCCTAGTCCGCTCCCTCCTCCCCTCGCTGGGCTGGGACGGCCCCCCTCGGCCCGGCGCTGTGCCTTTCCCTCGTCACGTTGCTGGAAGGGACCCGGGTTCGTCAGTCTCCTCTCGCTTTCCGCCTCTGTGGCATCCTCATGGCTTACTTGGCCCCCCTTCTTTTGCACAAATAGGGGTGCTCTCTCTCTTTCTCTATCTCCCCCTCTTTCTATGAGTTTTATTCCTCTCCTGTCCCAGAGGTGCCAGCTCAGGCATAGGCGCTGCTGTCCTTTGAGAATTTTCTATTTCGTTGCCGTTCCAAGGGCTCGGTGGTGCCGGGAGGGGGGCCGTTGGACCGAGATTTCCATTTAAAAACTCAATTTTTTTTGGCTAAAGCCTGAAGGGGGTTCAGAGGGTCTAAGATATTAAATACTTTAGCTCTTCTCCACGGGGGTTTAAATTCCTATACTGGACACCACAAGAATGTGTTAGAACAGGTTCCCTGCACAAGAGGCATCAAACCAAAATGCCCCCCCCCCCCAGCATTCTTCATCGCTTTTTTATACCACGGGGGGGGGGCAATAAAAAAAACATAACTGGGTTAGTAATTATCGATCTCACCGTATTTAAAAAAATAGCGTGCCCTTATGAGCCTCCTTCCTGAGAAATTCAGCGTTTCTTCCCACTGAGGTTTTGGTTTGATGTATTCATCTGCTGATTTCACCCCTTCCAGGGAGGGGTACCTGAGCGTGTGCACGCACATTAGTGTATTTACATTGTTTAAGCGAATCGGAGTGAGATGGTGCACTCCGGAAGGTATTGGACTTGATAGACTGACGATTGAATTTGTACACAGAGTCCTGCTTAGTAACTATAACTATTATCTGTTGCTGTGATGACTTTGGTTGGCAGTTACCATCCTGAAAAGTGTTTTTTGGGCAGTGTTACCTGAAGGAGTTTGAAACTGTAGCTTTGAGTGTCTGAAGGCATTACCAAGAGATGATTCTTAGAATAGGGCAAATGTGGTACAGTTGGGTACTGAATAAAGTCAAGGCATTAACACTAATTTGTACGGTAATCATCAGATAATTTTCTATGGAACACATGTTTTATGAAAATCTAAGTTTAGCATAGAGACCACTGTAGACGCAATTCAGCCTTCTTTCATCTATAATAAATTCACAAATACGGGCTTTAGCTCTTAAAAGTACATGGCAGTTATATAAGAGATGTATGCTATCCTTGGCATTTTTTTTTCTTCAATCATTCAGCATAAAAAGTACTTAATGCTTTTTGTGTTTTTCAGATTCTCTGAAGTTACACCCATCCCAGAATTTTCATAGAGCTGGACTATTGGAAGGTCAGCAGAATGCCATTTTAAAGCATATTGTGTGAGTATGCAAAGGCTTTCTCTGAAATGGAGTTTAAAGGAGAAAGTGTGAAACTTTGCAAACTCATACAATGTAATTTTCTCCTAAAGAGCCTGATCCTTCTTTTAGAGCAGCTGAATGTTTCAGTGGATTTTGTTCCTGTGTTTGATGTGATTGTTAGCTATTATAGCTGCTTTGAGAAGCCTTGAACTCCTTTTTATTCCCCCAGCACCCGACACACAAAATCATTAAAAATTACTGTGTTGGGTGTTATACCTTAGAATTCCAGATACTAATAAATAGCTTTTTACAAATAAACTGAATATGAAAAAGCTCAAACAAGATCATGAATACAACTGAGTGACACCAGATACATATTTAGTTTGAAAATTCACAACTTTTATATGCTAAGTATTTCAAAACGATATATTATTTATTACAAAAGCATTGATGTCATTACTATTGCATTATTTTTAAAGATGAGGAAAGCCAAGTAATAGAGATGATGATTAAACTATGTTTAGAAGAAAGGGTTTTAGAACATTCTGGAAACACTAATAAACTATGTAGAATAATTCAAACAATTGCCCAATTACTTCAGAAAACTTTAAGCAATTTAAGACAAAAAAAGTTCTATTTATCTCTCTCTCTCAAAAAAAAGTTCTATTTATGTTGTTTTTATAGTTTTTGAAGTGATTTCACATGTATTATCTTTGACTCTTATAATCCTAGAATTGGACTGTAAGGATACTCATTTCCTTATTGTAAAGATGAGTAACCTAAGACTGAAATTAAGAGACTTGGGGAGGCAGGGGAAATCATACAGTAGCAGAAATCATTCTTTTTATATTTTAGTTGGTGCTCTTTACTCAAAGCCAAGCTACCATTATACAATATATATGTAACCGTGCCCTTTGGGGGTGGGGGTAGGGGTCAAATTCTTAAACATTTTGTAGCCCACTTAAAAAAGGCCCTAAATATTTAAGTTTGACTTAAGTGTAGGTGTTTGCTTTCTATATGGTAGTCTGGTATAATGGAGAAAAATATGAGTTTTGTAATTGAGCTTAAATTTGAATATCAGTTTTGACTATTTATTAGCTCTGTGACCTTGGCAAGTAATTTTATCTCTATAAACTTTAATAGTCTATTCATAAAAATGTATATAATCACTTAAATTTAGTGAGCTAATGTGTACAAAAATATTTATTGTATATAAAAGGTTCTCAAATTATTAATTATATTTTTAATTACAAGAAGCCCATAGATAAATATTAGTATGAAAATCAACTACACTATTAGATGAGGAATTATTAGTGTTTCTTAGTGAAGCAGATTTCTGGATTTTGTTCATATTGTTCAATTTGTGACCATGTTGTAGAGTCACGTTTGTATGTACAAACCCATCCATTCTCTGGGCAACAAACCAGAGAGTGTCATAGTGATGGAGATTAGACAGGAGAAAGATGAAAAAAAAAAAAAGTTAATTATTTAAGCAAATATTTTTAACAGGTTGGTGGAAATGCAGACAACCATCTATTGTGTATATTTACATATTTGTACCTAAATACTTTAATTACTTTTTCATTTTGGTTGAGAGGCTACACAAATTTTTAAGACACCCTTTTACAGATGATATGTAAAATATATAAATATCAAGTGTGTCATGTTCTTTTATATCTTTGATATAGGTTATCATAAGAAAATTGTTCGCTTCTGCAATGAAAGTATTTAATCTATGCAACCAATTTCTAGTTTTAACCTATTATTATGGACATTTTATAGAATACACAAAAGTAGAGATAATAAAATAATGAATCCTCAAATACCCATCACCAAGCTTTAACAGTTACTAATCAATGTCTACTCTTGTTCCTATTATCCTCTCTCCTTCCCAAAGCTATACCAGACATCATATTTCATACATGAGTACTTTTTCTTTTAGTCCAGGAAATGTGTTTCTAGTTTATATTAGCAAAGTCTCTCATGTCTCCCCTGCTCCCTTTTTAAGATGTAGTAGAGTAGAAGGCTACTACTTCTATAGTGTCATTTCTAATCTGTGTTAAAATTGTAGGCCATGTGGCCAGATTTGGGTTCAAAGCCTTGCTTCAACATTTGTATGTGCCTTTGGCTTAGTCACTTTCTTTATCTTTTTGTGCTTCAATTTTCTCTTCTTTAAATGGGTACAACAGCCAAAACCGGTTTGGCTTAGTGGATAGAGAATCGGTCTGCGGACTGAAGGGTCCCAGGTTCTATTCCGGTCAAGGACATGTACCTTGGTTGCAGGCACATCCCCAGTAAGGGGGTGTCAAGAGGCAGCTGATTGATGATTCTCTCTCATGGATGTTTCTTAACTCTCTATCCCTCTCCCTTCCTCTCTGTAAAAAATTAATAAAATATATATTTTTTAAATTGGGTACAACAATAGTATTTTCATCAAGGTTGTTGAGGCAAATTTATGTAAAGCATTTAACCCAGCATATACCGTAGTAAGTTTTCAATAAATGTTGGCTAAATTAAAACATTTTAAACATCAATTATCTATACAGTGCATACTTTTTCCAAATTTAGGTTCTTTCTTTAGGAAAATAAGATTGGAAACTGCAATTGGGTGTTATTAAGCTTTAAAAATAGGTTTAAAATTTCTTTACCATTTAATTAAATTTGCATTTATCCTCCATATGAATGCTGGTCTTTCTTTTTTTTCAAAAATATAATTGATTTCAAAGAAGAAGAGAGAGGAAGAGAGAGATAGAAACATCAATGATGAGAGAGAATCACTGATCAACTGCCTCCTGCAAGCCCCCCACCAGGGACCCAAGCCTGCAACCCAGGCATGTGCCCTTGACTGGAATCGAACCTGGGACTCCTCTATCCACTGTGCCAAACTAGCCAGGGCAATGCTAGTCTTTCTTGCTACTATCTTTTTTTTCTTAAAGATAAATTAAATTTTTTTAAATTAAGGCATAGCTGACATATAACATTGTGTTGGTTTAAGATGTACATTGCAATGATTAAATCTTTGTATATGTTGGAAAATGATCACCACAATGTCTAGTTAACTAAGTCACCATGCATAGTTATACTACTACTTTTTTAAAAATATGTTTTATTGATTTTTTTACAGAGAGGAAGAGAGAGGGATAGAGTCAGAAATATCGATGAGAGAGAAACATCGACCAGCTGCCTCTTGCACACCCCCTACCGGGGATGTGCCTGCAACCAATGTACATGCCCTTGACCGGAATCGAACCCGGGACCTTTCAGTCCGCAGACCGATGCTCTACCGCTGAGCCAAACCGGCTTCGGCTGCTACTACTTTTTAAATTTAATTTGGTAATTGCCTAACAGTGGGAAAAGGAAAGTCTAGCTATTTTTTAAAATATGTTTTTTACTGATTTTTAGGGTGAGAGGAAGGGAGAGGGATAGAGAGATAGAAACATGTATCGGTCGAGCCCCCAAACCTGCATGTGCCTAACTGAGAAACCAATGTGACCTCTTGTTCTTGGGTCAACACTCAATCACTGAGCTACACTGGCAGGGCAGAAGTCTAGCTATTTAATGCAATCATAGCCATTAAAATAATGTTTCTGATGACCCCATAATTATGCATGAAACTTTTAATAAAGTAAGTAAATAAAATATACTTTTGCAAGAATTTTATAAATAATTTAAAAAACATATTGGACAAAAGTATATGTTTTTATTTTTTTATTCTACTTTTGCATTTTCCCTAAACCTTTAAAGAAGATAATTTGTACATATTTAAAAAAAAGAAGATGAGCCCTGACCGGTTTGATTCAGGGGATAGAGCATCGGCCTTTGAACTCAAGGTTCCCAGGTTTGACACTGGACAAGAGCATGTACCTTGCGCCAAAACCGGTTTGGCTCAGTGGATAGAGCGTCGGCCTATAGACTGAAAGGTCCCAGGTTCAATTCCGGTCAAGGGCATGTACATTGGTTGCAGGCACATCCCCAGTAGGGGTTGTGCAGGAGGCAGCTGGTCGATGTTTCTCTCTCATCGATGTTTCTAGCTCTCTACCCCTCTCTCTTCCTCTCTGTAAAAAATCAATAAAATATATATTAAAAAAAAAAAGCATGTATCTTGGTTGCGGGCACATACCCAGTGGGGAGTGTGCAGGAGGCAGCTGATCAATCTTTTTCTCTCCCCGATATTTCTAACTATCCCTCTCCTTGCCTCTCTGTGGAAAATCAATAAAATATATATATGTTTTTAAAAAAGAAGATGATGATTTACAGTTACGTTGTTCAGATTTGAAGGCTGGGATTCTTCTTTGGAGAGCTTAGACGAAAAGTTCAATTACAGAGACGAAGGTACCATTTCTTACATTTTCTGTATTGAAAAATATTTATTATGACATGTATTGTTTCATATAAAAAACAGATAAAAATTAATCTAAGTGGAAGTATACAAATAAGATTAAGTAAGAGGTCATTCTAGAAATATAGAGATGTAAGATACAATGGTAAAAAATGAGGTAAAACAAGAAAAATAAGCAAATTGGAAAAAATCAAATAAAAATGGGTTAAAAATTAAAAATATTTTTAATAGCATGAATTAGATTACATGATGGATCAAATTAGCTGGTTAAGTAAGAACTAAACACCAATATGATACATCCTGGTATGAATTATACATTTAAGATTGGAAAACTTAAAAAGAAATATAAAATATTACAGTGAGTTAAGGGAAAATAAACTACTTTTTATTTTTATTTTTACTATTTGTTACTATTTGATATAGTATAATGCATAATTATGCTTTATAGTTCACAAATGGAAATACTTTTTTTTAAAAACATTTAAAAAATATATTTTCAGAGAGGAAAGGAGAGGAAGAGATAGAAATATCAATGATGAGAGGGAACCATTGATTGGCTGCCTCCTGCATGTAGGACCGATCCCGTAATAGTAGCAGTGTGTTACTGACTTTATGGAATATTTCTGAATTGCCATTAGATTTATTTCTTTT